ATGTAAAAGAGGAAGTGAATTTGAAAAGCTCCTACCTGAAATACAAAGCACAAGTCCTGTTCAAGAGAGGATTATCTCATAAACTGGATGTCAGGAGGGCTCAACAGGGGCCCTCCTGCCGTCTAAAGAGTACAACGTCAGTCAAGCGGCACCCCCCTTTGTAGCTTTAAAGAAGGGCCTGGGATCCTGCCAGAGAGACCCACCAGGGGAGGCCCAGCCATCAAGGGAGGTGGGACACTGCAGGGGATGGCCCCAGCGACAAGGAGCTGACCGTGAGGTGGAAGGGTGGGGCAAGTTCACCCGTGGGTAGGAAGACAGAGGGAACCTGGGCAATGTTCCCTCTAAGCTGTGGAGTCTTATGAGCAAAAATTCTACTTTGTGAGCGACTGGCATTAAAATTGTGAGTCAGTGATTTGACTTCTGCATAAATTAGTTTGCTCTGGAGTTGTCCTTCCTGAGCTAAGACAAAAATGTGTGAGCTGGAGGCTAAAAAGCTGTGAGCTAGCTCACACTAACTTAGAGGGAACTAACTTAGAGGGAACACTGATTTAAGGCCTGGATGGGGAGGGACCCAGGGAATTAAGGAGGAAATAAAGGCTGTGGCAAATGGAAGCTGAGGAGGAAGTGCGGAGCCTGGAGCAGAACGGCAGGATGAGGGAGCCGAGAGCTGTTGCTCCTATCCACTCAAAACTGCTAGCTCAGGTGAAGCCAGGGAGGACGGGTGAGAGAAACCAGTCCCTCTGATTTCTGAGGCAACCAGCCAAGGGTTTTTCCTCGCCCTGGACACTGTTTCCTAGCCAGAGAGGTCCCTAAACAAGCGAGACCTGACAGTGGATAATAAATTTCCTCTGTTTTGACACACTGACTTGTAAGGATTACCACAATTTAAAGGAAACAACTCCATCAACTGTGGCTTGATTTACAATTTTATTATTTACCTCATTTACACTCTGCTTTTCTTCCCAAGCAGCTTGTGTCATTCTCAGTCTTTTCGATTTTATCCTCACAGATTGGTTCCAAGGTAGGTTAAACTCTGTCCTCTTCCTTAGTAGGAAACTTAGTAGGAAACTTCAGCCAGCAGGTTCCAAGGTAGGTTAATTCTCCCAAGGACACCCAATAAGCTTCCATGGCAGAGTGGGAATTCAAAGCTGGGTCCCTGAGATCCTAGTCTGACACTAACCACTACACCACACTGGCTGTCCTTATGACTACTCAGTGGTACTCTTAGAGAGACTCCTAAGCAGGTATACACAGAAGTAAGTCCCATGTTATTCAGTGAACCTTACTCTCAGGAAAGCGTCTTTAGGATTACAGCCTTATTATTGAAAACTACTGTGTTACCTGAAGGCTTGCTAATTTGAAATTTTGTGGCCCTTGTTTCCCATCTCCCCCCCCCGCCCCCATCCCGTCTTGTGCTTTGTCTTATTTTTGTGACATGACTGCCTAGGTTTCATGGTGCTATATAGCTGGCCAACAATATACATCCTGTAGACTAGCAGAGTAGATTAGCAAATTACCCTCCCAGCATTACATTCATGAATGTACTATTTCAGACCTTGGCTAGGTCATCATTGTTTCTTTATGTTCTGTTCTGTGAATATGAAAAAAGTGTTCTTCAGATACATAGCACTGAATTGTCTCAATAAAGCCAAATGAAATATTTCCAAAGCAATTAACTTTGAGGATGTTTATTCATGAAGAAAGCTATTCAAGAAGAGCAATCATATTTGTTACCTTAACAAGATTTGTATATTCCCTTTCCACTGAACAAAACTGGCTGTCATGGAGGTTGGCTGGCAGTATAAATCAGTTAAAAAAATAATTCAATTAAAAACAGAACACTTTTGCTGCTAATAGTATAATGTTTGTTGTGATGTGATTTTTCCATTTCAGTCTATTTGTAAAGTAGCTTAAGAAAATACATGGTATGTATATCCAGTATAGCAGAACCCAAAATAACAATATAGGAGCTAAATATAACAGCAATGAGTAAAACACATGTTAATAAGTACAGTGCTTAGCATGAATATATTACATAATATAAACATTATTTGAAACATGAAAGCATATACACTAAAACAGTTGCTGTAACAGAAACATAGAGCTGGAAGTGACCTCAAGGGTCATCTAGTCCAACCCAACACACAATGCAGGGAAGTCACAGCTACCACCCACCCACCCCCACTCTGCCAGTGACCTGTGTTCCATGCCCAGAAGATGACAAAAAACCTCGAGGATCCCTGGCCAATCTGTCCTAGAGAAAAATTCATTCCAGACCCCAGAGTGGTGATCGGCATTACCCTGGGTGTGTAAGAAAGGGCCACAGGAGCCAAGCACTGACTCACACCTTCCTGCCCTTCCTCTCATGATCTGCCTAAATTCACAGAATTTAATAGGTAGGTAATAATAGGTATGAATGCAATTGGAAAAATATTGCTTCTTGTAGAAAGAGAAGTAGCTCCTAAAACTCTTGTTCAGGCTCTGAATAATCATGTCAAGCTTGTTAATGAATTTATAGGCCATTACTGTTGGAATTTGAGTCATATTTTACTTTTTGTTGCGTAGAATAAAAATATTCCAATCTTGTTTACTTACAAATATATAAGTTCATGAGTTTTATTGAATGAGTGTGATGACTGGGGACAAAGATAATACTTTTAGTATTATTGGGATGCTTTGCTGCATGCACCTTGAAAAAGAAGAAAATGCTGTTAAATGCTGACCTCCATGCCTGTTAGTAGAGAATGGAGACTATCAGTTTACTTCCCACAATTAGGAAAAATACCCTTACACACTTATCTGCTATTTTGACATATTTATTGCTTTACAACTGTTGACCTTATAACCTTAGCTTGTTATTTAGTTTTGTCTTTGCACATCTTCATCGTGTTATATGTTAATTTGCTGTTCAGCCCCTGTCTATAAATTTGAACCTTACCTACCATTCCAAAACTTTTGAAAAAGTGTACATGCACAAAAGCTCATACCTTGAATAAAATTTGTTGTTCTTAAAGGTGCCACTGGACTCTAAATTTGTCCTACTTTTCGTATTAGTAAGAGAAACCTATATTTTTATTGCAGGGTATAAAAAATTCGTACATAGAACTATAGATTAAAATGTTCATTGTTAAACTGAATTGTTCCTTTAAAATGTGTAATATATGAATATCCTAGCTTTGTATATTTCTAGGTGAGCCTATAAATTTAAGGAAGCTCTTAGCTTTCCAAGCGATGGTGGTAGTGTCTTTTAATATGAGATCATTGTGTAACAAGAATTGAGGTAGTTGAAGTATTTTACAAACTTGGTTTTCAGAACTTGAATCTAGGTAAATTGGGGTGATGTTTGTTTTATGTGTACCTCCTCAAACCTGTGTTGATTTTGTTCACTTAGAAGTTATTATTGGAATGTGTGTCTTTTTGGCACCATGAATGTAGTCATGGATTTGTGAGACCCGAAGATTAAGCGTTTCTCCTTTCAGTACATAGAATTGAGGAAGTTGTCATGGGCTGTTTCTCATGGGGAGGAAACCAAGTTTGTCAATAGTTGCAAGAAGACTTCTGCTTTAAGGAGTTTTAAATATAAGAATTCTGCAAGAGTGTTGTCTTCATGGTTCCAGCAGTGCATAGAAGAGTAGAACAAAACTAGTGGCCCAAGAGTATCCCCACACACACATACATACACTCTTGTGTATCTCTTCCTCATCTGCTAGATCTGCTACATCTATTGTTTGCCTTGACCACCTACTTCATTGGATACTTGCTCCATCGTTTCTCAAACCTTCTCCATTCTCAGCTATTCTAGCCTGTATTTGAAGATAGTTTCAGAGGGTAGCCAAGTTGACCTGGAGTAGAACATCTAGATTCAAGTTCTGCAGCACTTTAGAAAGCAGCAAGATTTTTGGGGGTATAAACTTTTAGGAGGCAAAGCTCTGATGAAGGTGTCAGAAACCACAGCCAACAATGGAGTACACGCTTTCAAGAAAGGTTATACTTTTATTGAAGAGCTATATATGCATTAACATAGTCACTGTTAAGAATGGCAGTTGTCCCTTGAACATAATATAGGGCATTCGTATGCACCCCCCACACACACACTGCGCTGTCAATTAGGCACCCTGCCGCGCGCGGGCTAAAGCCAGCAAACGTTTTCTAGCCGAAGCCGGGAACTGTCCGGCTCCCAGGCTCCCACGGCTGCCTGGAAAGCCAGACAACACACACTCCCACCTGCACATCTTTATAGATAAGTGTTTCGGCACAAAGCATAGACAGGAATGTGAAAGCTATTTACACAGACTCCGACTGAGCATCCCAACCCCCATGGTAGCATAGCTGACAGAAGGGAGCTTTGGCTTTCAAAAGCTTATATCTCGAAAATCTTGTTGCTTTCTGAAGATGCTACTGGACTTGAATCTAGTTAACCTGGCTTTGATGTCAAAGCAGATGATGGCTGCCAGCAAATTTAAATTTAAATAAATTATTTAAATATTGTTAGCAAAATATAAATCATGTTAGCAAAAGAAGGCAAATGCACCATGTATGAGCCTGGACCATGTACATGCAGTGACGTTTTTGTCCATGCTTCATATCCCATATTTAGCCCGTGTGACATGATTGATTTGTGGCACAACAGCCATAGCAGCTATAGATAAACATAGACTATATTGTCTATATTTACATATGTGAGGTGGGAAAATTTCCACAGAAAAATATAGTATTGAATTTTTTTCTGGAACATTAATTCTTCTGAAAACATTAATGGCTGTCCGTCTTGGCTCTGCAGCAGTTTACACATGCACCTTTTTGCAAAGCCCATGGAAGTTGAAATTTTCTTCCACCCTGTGACAAAAACATTTTTCATGGTAAAAACTTTAAATATATATCTTGCATGTGAAACATACTCAGACAAGAATAAGTAAAATTCAAAAGTATGTTGATCGTTGTTAAGTTCTGCTGCACAATCATGTTCTCATGCAGGAGTTATCTTGTGTTTTGTGCTACAGGAGAAATCCCATTGTTTCTGAATAGTCAGATATTGGGAACGAAGTACTCATCATGGCTGAGCTGTCAACTGAAGAAATTCAATTGAGGGCCAATCAGGTTACCGATGAAGTAAGTTGCTCCTAACCCATTGTTTCCTCTGTGTTTGTATAGTGAAAAAAACAGCTCAAGAAAAGACGTCTAGGATGCTCAAAGCCTATTTGTTTCTAAAAGTGTTTTTGTACTGCCGGGGGTGGGGAGGTTTCCCTTAAATGGTCAGGCTTTTAACTTACCAAGTGAGAAACAATGTTTTTAAACAGTATTTATTAACAATATTTATGGATGATAATACCTGTAACATTACAGTTAGTTAATTAACTGTATTATTCATATCCTTTTTAACGTGTTAGAATAATAATAATAATAATAACCAGTGGTGTTCCAAAAGAGGCATACTTGGATCATTGAGCATTTGTGTAATCACATCATGCAAAATTTGGGTGCTTATCAAAATAATTAAAGTTCTCTAGATATGACTACTTAATAAATCAGAATGGGTATTTCAAATGCCTTCATTGCAAAATACAAGTAGCAAATTCACAAGAGAATACTGTTTTAAGAATATTAAGCAGAAGCTTGTAAAAGAGTTGTATTCTTTTAGATATGTTATCACATGTTGTGAGGTTGCTTTTCAGTGTTCCCTCTAAGCTGAGTTAGCCTCTGGCTCACACATTTTTGTCTCAGCTCAGGAGGGATGACTCCAGAGCAAACTAATTTATGCAGTAGCCAAATTGCTTGCCAGTAGCTCAGAAAGTAGAATTTTTGCTCACAAGACTCCACAGCTTAGAGGGAGCATTGGCTATAGTGTAAAAGTCTGTCGTCTAAGTCTGCATGCTTAAACGTTTTTTGTTTTGTCTTTAGTCTTTGGAAAGCACAAGGAGGATTCTAGGCATGGCCATTGAGGTAAGGAGGAACTTCAGAGGTATTGTTGGGAAGGAGTTATAGATGTAAAATTTCCAGAAATATTGAAACCATGGAGAAAACGGGTGGTGGTCTCTGGGGGGAAGCTGAAATATATGCAATATTTATCAAATCTAAACTTATTTCACTACTTTAACAACTTATTTATATCTTGTTTGGTGTATAGCATTGCACTATTTGGCATATTTTTGAAATTTAAAAGAATAAATGCCATTATTTTCTACAAGTAAAATTGGTTATATACCCAGTTACTCGAGGGACTGATTTGCAAACTGCTGCCCTGTACTACCTTAGCACATGCATATTAGTTTTTTCCACCTGACAGATAGGAAAAAAATTAATAACACAAATTTTGTAGCAAATATATTTGCATAGATAATCTCATAGTCACAACAGGACAAGCAGCGCATTTGGATTTAGAGTTGAACCTGACAACATTGAAAGCATTGAATTCATCAGTAGTATACTATCATATCCATGGCATATTGCAAACAAGATTGGTTACATTTAAACAAACAGTATCTTTGGGAATATATCTACGGGATACACAGGAATTATAATTACCAAATAATGTAAATTGTTGTAAATAAAAATCTTCATACTACATATTTTGAGTAAAAGCCTTGTCTTTAAAAAGCATTTCACTTCTACTTCAAGAGAAGATATTTCATAGGAGATTTACAAATTCTCTATGCTTCTCAATATTTTCAGTCTTTCTTTTTGAAAAAATGGAAAATGTCGGGGGGGGTGTGAGAAAGGAATTGTTTTTTCCCCATGCCTTCACTTAAGAATGGGAAGACGCTCAAGTCAAATTCCTTGGGAGCAATTCATTCCTTAAGTTTCCTATTCAACTTTTCCCATTTTTAAAGGAACAGCTGTGGTTCTCAGGCCTTGTACATAAACTTGTGCTTTTCTATAGTAGATTTCCAGGTTATTCCTTGTACAAGCCAAAATATGGCTTCGTGGTGTTCAGTTTGTTTTCCTGCTAACCTATATGATCAAGAGCTGGTTCACAGACTCTTATGCCCATGATAAATGCATTGTCTCTGAAGTGCCATAATTAGAGATGGGCACCAACTGGCTCATAAATCTTTGATTGTAATTAATTCTGGCCGGTTTGTGGCTTACGAACTGAAGCCCAGCCATGAACCTCCATGAACTTTTAAGGCAGTTTGGAGGGAGCAAAAAGCAGGGGTTTAAGCCCCTGTTTTTCCTTCTCATGAAAGCCGCCAAAACAGCTGAGTGGCCAGAGCAGGCTGCTTTCAGCTGCTCAGCTGTTTAGATTGGAAACAGCTGAGCCACGGGGGCAGCCTGCTCCTGTTCCTCAGCTGTTTTGAGCTCTAAACAGCTGAGCGGCAGGAGCAAACTGTTCAGTGTGGCTCAGCTGTTTAAAGGGGCTTTCTTGGGTTCAGCTCCGAGCCATTTAAACCAAACAGCTAAGTGGTGCTCCGCTGCTCAGCTGTTTGGTTTAAACCCCTGCTTTCTACTCACTGCGAAAAGTGGTGGGGAGCAGAAAGGAGGGGTCATGAAACCATACAAACAGGTTCAGTTCGCAAACCAGCCTCCCGAGCTTGTAGCTCGGTTCGTGGTTCAGCCACGAATCACAAATTGAACTGAACCACAAAAATGCAGTTTGTGCCCATCCCTGCCCATAATGCTTGTACAAGTTGTAATTCAAATTGTTGATTATATTTTGCACCATACCTTGAGACTTTGAGTTTCTAGCCAACATATTTTGTTTCTTCCTAAATAGTCCCAAGATGCAGGAATCAAAACCATCACCATGCTAGATGAACAAGGGGGTGAGTTGCTGTTGGCCAGCAGTGCAGTGTGATGGCAAGGATTATCTTTTGCATTCATCCATTGTGTGAATATTTTTACTTCAATATAAGTGTGATCATATGAGTAACTAGCCTGATACCCATGCTTTGCTGCAGTATTTAAGTTCCATAAATCCAGTTATAATACAGATGAAATGTAAAATTTGTTGTAGGATTTCTAATGGAGAAGACTGTAGTGCAAGCAGGCATATTTTACCTCAGAACTCTGAGCTACACAGTTGATCAGTCGGGGGGGGGGCAAGGAGGCAGCAACCTTCCAGGCACATGAAAAACAATTGGGAAAACACATTTTGCCCCTTTTTTACCCCCTTAGGGCTCGTGTTTCTCAGAAATCTCTTTGTAGTGGGGGTTGACGTCATGGTAGGAATGCACTCCCCTTATTTTGGGTTTCTTGGCGGAGGGGGTATCTAAGCAATCAGATATTAAGCAAGTTCATATGAACCAGTTTTCTAGAACACACATTGTAAAAAGTTAAATAACCTAATACAGGAAAACCCTTTTCTACAAATTTGAGGTGTATTTCCATAGTGGGTAGGAGTGCAGCTGGGGTGGCCTCCCTGATGGATTAAAGTAACATGGCCCTGCTCCTACACCTGACAAACACCTGCTTGTCTGGTGTAAGGGGGGGTGTTGTGTTTAAAGGCATTGGAGAGGCTGGGCCAGCAGCAGCGCTAAGGCAGTCCTGCTGAGCAAGTCTCCTCAATGGCTTTAAGGATGCTGCACCCCTTCCAACCCTTGACAGGCGGTTGTCTTTCAGGTGTAGGAGGGGTAGCGTGTGTGAAGGCCTCGGGGAGGCTGGGCCAGCAGGATTGCTAAGGCGATGCTGCTTGGGCGCCCTCCCCGATGGCTTTCAATTCTCTGTCCCTGCTCCTGCACCTGACAGGCAACTGCCTGTCAGGTGGGGGAGGGGTGTGTGGAAGTGTGTCTAAAGCCATTGGGGAGGCTGGCCCAGCAGCATCGCTAAAGTGTTTCTTCTCGGGTGGCCTCCCTGATGGATTAAAGCACCCTAGCCCTGCTCCTACACCTGACAGACACCCACCTGTCTGGTGTTGGGGGGAAGTGTGTTTAAAGGCATCAGGGGGCTGGGCCAGCAGCAGCACTTAGGCAGTCCTGCTGAGCAAGCCCCCCTGAAGGCTGTAAGCATCCCACACCCTCTCCTACACCTGATGAGCAGCTGCCTGTCCAGGGTAGAAGGGGAATGGGGGAGGGATATTGCAAGCCATTGTGGAGGCTGGGCCAGCAGGATCACCGAGGCGTTACTGCTGGGGCAGGCTCCCTCATGGCTTTAAGCATCCTGCACCTGACAGACAGCCACCTGTCAGGTGTAGGAGGTGGGGGGG